TATATATATATATATATGTATGTATATATGTTTTCACACACGCCTGAGTTCAAACTGTGTTCCAAAAAATCGCTGGTCAACAGTCTTTATAGAAAGAAAGGGGTCTATGATTTGTTTGAGGGCATGATAGTGCTAGGTTGACCAGGTGAATTTTCTTAGAGAGTTCATAACCAGAAACTTCGACTAACCAAAGTCCGACTCGAAAGGCAGCGGAGCGTTATATAAAAGCCGTACTCCGTTTGGGGTGTTGGTGTGCAGTTAATCGGATCATACGCCCTTTGGATGGGGTCAAAGTTACAAGGTGCCCAATACACCTCGATGCACAATCAAACCGGTGGCCACTGCCATAACCAGGAAGGTGTGTTTGAGGTTCGTATGCCTCTNNNNTTTTCTAGGTGAACTGGCTGTGGTTCACAGACCCAGTTATAGCCCCGGATATTGGTTTTTCATCCCCTCACCTTGGTGGGAAAACAACTCCGCCACGAGAAGGCAGTGAGTAAGGCTTCCTCAGCAGAGACTGATTGGGACGCTCAGTTGTATAGGAGCATTCGACGAGTTGTAATGAGGAGACGATCAGCCACAAACCAAGACACCCACCCCGGCCATACTGAGGCTTTCGGAAGCATTCGGCCTTGATATAAAAGAATCGACCTTGAAAGTGTTCATAATCTCGAAACTTAACAAGCAATAAATAAGGAAAATTTGTTATTTTCTGTTGAAAGCTGAAACACCATGGAACATAAGTATTATCCTTCAAAATTATTCATGTTTCAAAACCAGTTTTCTTCACACATATACGTAAATCATTTCTGTATAATTTTATGTGGTGCTCGGTAAATATTTGCCGACATGAACGCTCTTCCTTGACAGTCGCCCAGATCATCAAGAGATATTTTTGGTGAGAGCAACTACCTTGGAAAGGTTTCATTGCAGCCATGTCAAGGGAGGCAGGATGCGAAATTTTATTGATCGATTGACCGAATCACATAATCGAAGGTCATTCTTCAAGTTCACCGCTCAAATCACACACACACAATCCCCCCCGCCCGCCCCGCTAACACAACACACACTGAACCCCATCCCACCATAAACAACAACTAGCCCAAGAACTCCCAAAACAAAAGCCGTATGCGTCATTTATCGCTCTATTGGTGACGAATCATGGTCCGGACCCAATAAATCGGTTAAGGGTCATAGATATATACTGATACCACCCCCTCCGCCAACCCCCGCACACAGATAAGTACGAATTACACATCATCACTGACTCGACAGTAACCAACGTGTGAACACTCAATGTTGCCGTACAGAGCCACAACAGAGCTGTGTGTTGCATGATTTATATACATATATATGTATATATATATATATATACACGCCAAGACAGAGTTCTTTGCATCTCAACACAACATAAAATAACAGTTTAAATCGTTTGTCAGTGACTCGGCTAAGCACGAATACGACACGACCGAACGATCATACTTTTTAACCGCAGACAAAACTAACAGTTCATCTGATACACACAGGCCCGCCTTCCATCCTCCAACGGGAAACGACTGCACAAACCTAAGCAGTCATCATCATCAGCATGTCCTGTCCGGATCATGATTCGTCATCAACCAATGTCGAGCGATTGACGAGGCAGATTGTTTGTGTGTTCGGTGTTCTCGGGTGACGATGGTGGTTGGTAATGGGGATTGACTATTATTATTATTATTTATTTATTCATTATACTTTCACACATGTCTGACGCCAGACTGTGTTCCAAACAAATCATGGTATAATAATCTTTACAAAACAATAAACGTTTCACGATTTGCATGTGGGAGGAATACTGTCACGTTGCCCAGGCCAAGGTAGATGAATTTTCTTGACGATCCACAACCGGAGCCTTTGGCTAACCAAAGTCTGACCCGCAAGGAAGCGGGGCGGTGTGCGAAAACCGCAACCCACCTCGAGTCGATGTCCAATTCATCGGATCTTACGCCCTTTGGATGGGGGCAAATGTCCAAGGTGCTCAGTACACCTGGATGCCCAGTCGAGCCGGTGACCACCGACACAACCAAGAAGTTGTGTATGTGGTTCGTACACCTCTTCACGGTTGGTTTGGAATCAGGATAATTTGGCCAACTTTCTTAGGTGAACTACTAGTGGTCCACCAACCCGGTTATAGCCCCGAATGTCGGCTGGTTTACTATGCCAGTGATGGGTCGTGCATGTGTGTGGATAATCCGGTGTGAGGGGGGGGGGTTAAATGATCGAATGGTAGAGTGACCGTCGATCATGTACCCCGTTCAATCAGCGTCTAAGCAAACACGAGATTTGAGCCTGGATCCGTGGTGGAGGTTTGTCATCCTCGACCACTATCTATTCAACAAGCGCGAATTGGAGAAATTGTGAAACCAACTTTCGGTTTCACACAGAACAGGATGCCAATATCTCACACTTCACATTTGATAGTCTGAATAATGTGGGAAAAAACATTCTACCTTACACAGGAAACTCCACCCGTAACTTAGATTCCATAGTTGCAACGTAATCGTAACATGCTATAGCGTCCACAAAGGATTGCCACCAAGAAGGTAAAGGGATTGCACCATCTCATTTCACCTATGAGGGGAGATTGCAAACATTGAGACTATATTCTGCTCAGTACGGCCGAATTCGGGAGGATCGCAGAGCTCAAACCCAAACCATTTTGGGCGCGGCTCCCATAGTCGAACATTATAGACCTTAGGGGACATGGTTTCAAGTTACTGAATCGAAAGTGTCGACTGGAATGCTGGGGTCAATCTTTTGCAATTAGAGTGTGCTGTACTTGGTTGGGACATCCTTCCATCTCCCATCGTTTGTTCACCAACTAGTGAATCTTTCAAGCGGAGACTCGATGAAATCCTAGTACAACTCATATTGTTAGATGACTAAAAATAAACGGAAATCGGTTGAAGACTAAATTATCTATCATCTCCTCCCCGAACGCTATGACAAAATCAGTTTTTCACCGAGAAACGATTCAATAGTGTAAATATCCTATGGGGACAAGAGAAGCAAGAGCTTGTAAGTTATTCCCGTGAGCAAACTTTGACTTTGACTTTGAATGCGATATAGAGGAGCAATTCGATTTAGCGGCTAGCGTGTCAATCTGACAGCAATCAAAGCAGAACTGCATCTATCATCTGGCCTAATGACTTTTTATCTCTTTATTCCACTCCCTTTTATTCGATACACATTGAGAGAGAATTTTCACCAGGGGGGGGGGGGGGTTGGGGGCTAGAAACCAATCAAAAGCTGCCATACAACAAACAGAGAGAGAGAGAGAGAGTGAGTGAGGGAAGTCAGGCGGTGGTGGTGGGGTTGGAACACACGTATTCTGGGACTAAAAGTTAATCACCATTATCGCTCGGCCGCCACCAACACGACCGCTGGTTATCAATATTGATTATCTTATTTCCAATAGTTTTGCTCAACCGGAATATTGACACATAAGAGCGCGGTTCAGTGACGGTATTTTTTCACAGCTTATGCAAACTTGCAATTCGAGTTCTGTGACCGAACTGTGCGATAAATAGTAAGTCCCGAGTGAAAATATTTATCAATCCGTGTTTATCACTGCATACCAAGAATATGCCGTGCACTGCCAACTTATCATCCCTAATTTCCCACCCTGTAGAACCAATCACAGATGCTCTCCGTCCGGGTATCGTTCAAAATGACATTGCCCTGGTCAAATTGGCCCAACCGGCTCAGCTGGACCAGTATGTTCAAATCGGTTGCCTACCCTATCCGAATGAGGTATTCAAAGCGGGTCAACGATGTTCGGTAGCCGGCTGGGGTGTCACCGAAGAGGGTAAGTTAAGTACAAGAGCCGCTGGTTTGCTTCGATATATCGGGGAACGTGACAAATCATTCGCAGCGCCAATTACACATGTTTTGTCTGAAGCTTGATGCGAAAAGGAGGTACTGAAAGGAGTGTATTTTGCGAACGGTGCTTATTATTCTTTGACTGATTAATATATCCACATCTCAAGAACAGAGTTCAATTTAAATAAAGATACGTAGCGGTAAGCAATTATCTTTTGTGCCATCAATTTTTGATTTATTTCAGAGCCTGTGACTGCTGAACAATGAACCGTTAACGTTGCATTTGAGATTTTTATTCCCAGGAGTATCGCATGTTATACGGAAACATCGATGTTGTATGAGATGTGTCAAAATGTTTTGACGATACGCGCACAATGTTGAAACCCTCTCAAACAACATGTGGTGTAGCGTGCGACCGCCACGCCTTCTCACTTCTAAACCAAGCATTGTAACATCAACAGTTGTAGAAATTGTTTTTTTTTCAAAGCATATTACGATAACTTTTGATCTGACTCGCCCACGGCAGTCTGACTAAGCTACAGCGTGGTGGGAAAAGGTGAATTAATAATGCTAATAATAATACAGAGAATAAAATAACCAGGACACTGCTCCCGATTCCCTAGAGTGCACTCTCCGGGAGCAATCACTCACAATGAACAAATAGATTGATCCGGTCTCCAATGGCTAGACCACTAATCGTTCCCCATGGGACGAAAACGTCATTGAACGTGCAAAAGTAACACCCTGATCGTTCTCCTTTAGCGTACCACATTGAATCATTCTGTTTTTGTTTTACCTCACTGATTACAAGTAGGAATGTTTTGAACTATCCACCGGATACATAGAAAGTCATTGAACTCAATTGATTAGCCGCGTCACTGGGAAAATTCAGAGCTCCTCGCGTGGGATTCAACTGGTGTGCGAGCCGTGCTAGTCGTTGGTGATAGCAACTGACACCTACGGTAACACAAATTCATTTCCCGCCTTTGATCTCATGAATGGTGCAAGATGATGTGAAAAGATGCTCAAATGCGCATAACAATTTGTGGGAAGAGTGCTAGAAGACGCATCCTGCTCATCACATTTTGTATTGAATTCAACAACGTTAGTGGTAATCTCACCAACCGTGTACACACACGCACATTCCGATCACGTTTGATAGAATGAGTAACCTGTTAGGAGGACAAGCAAGCACACACTGGAGAGCCCAAAGTTCATAAAACCGAACCCGGATTGCGGATAGAGACAGCCAAATCCGAGCGGTCTTGGGTGATATCCTATGGCTTTGTGGATGACACATTTCGTGAGATTGAATGAGAACTCAGTTCACTTCTCACAACCATTAACCATGCACTTTCGTGCGCCGGTTTTGGTTGCTGTCCTTTGGCCGCTGCCAATTTGGATATAAATAAGGATAACGATTGGAATGTTAAAGGCCAACTCAAACAGAAGATAGAAAATGCATATGGACTGGTCTTAAGAGAATGAGGAGTACATTCATGAACGCCACTGTTTGAGACACCGTGCCATAGTGCTAAATGTCTCTAACCATCGGAATTCATCGACCTAACTGGGGATCGAACCCAGTGAAATAAGTAGTCAGGTTGTGAATGTTTCCGACCGAGTCATAACCCTGGAGGCTAGTACTGAGATGCGCAGTGTCTGTGGCCCGTAACAAGCTCGCAAAGATGGGTTGTGCATCATCGTGTGAATGGAAAGTGAAAAACGGTCTTACAAGCTGCCTGGTGGGCGAGTGGGTAGCATGCTTGCGTTCTGCCTATGACTTCCCGGGCTCGATCCCCAGTGGGGTCGATGTGTTCGCACTGCTGGTGAGACCCAACCAGGTGGAAACAAATGTCCGGTGCTTCCTAGCTTTTCAGCTCACGGTTCATTTGCTATATACACGACAAATTCCCTCTTTGAAATTTTAATTTTTGTTGGAAACCAACGGCACTGCATGAAAATGATGATTTGCGCAACAAGTGCCCCAAAATACCTAGTCTATTGAGGTCTACTACATGCTCCAATGGGCGAGTGCGGTTCCCCGAAACTGCGCCTAACCTCAACATTGTGCTGCGTAGACAGCATTAAGCGATTATGCTGGTAAAGTTTTAAAATTTATTTGTCTATCGCAGCGGTTAGATATTCCATCAGGTCAACATCAAACGGGAACCGAACAGGTGAATTTCCATTGTTCACATTGGAGGTTGGCGTCGAGGTGGAGGTGAAGATCGAGGTCAAATAGCACAATGTAAATATTGATTTTCAGTCGTTCTTTAGGCTAGATTTTGTAAACCATGCTTGTATCACATTGTAACCCCTAAAGGGGTCTAAGCTTTCGTCTAGTGTTTGCCAAGGATAAACAGGTCGATGGCTGCTTTCAATCCTGTCTGAAGCATATAACAGATCAAAGGGCGTACGTGCAGTGCTCGGTGAAACTCGGGCAACACTCATCGGCTCGTTTGATCTCTCGTTTATCGTTTTATCTCTCACTTGTTATGTCCCTACAATGTTCTTTGGTGTAGTCCTTTTAATTGGTACCCTTTCGCATTGCAATATCACAGTTACGTCAATAAATGCATATTCAACCGGCTCATCTCCACAACCCCAATAAAATAGTCACCTCCAAAGCACACTGATTACAAGAGAAAGGAAAACCTGTTAAACTTTGTTCATTTTCAACGAATAGACTCTTAGAACACATTGTAACAAAATAACATTTAAGAGATTTATGGATTCTATTCTGTATAGGACAGAAAATTGCGTTATTATTGTTTTCCATTCTGTCCGTATTGTTCCCGGGTTGCTCAAATCTATTCTGTGATAATATATTTTGGGAAAAATACTTCTCCTTGTTTTCACGGTGGGGCGTTTTGCTTCGATACTTTTATCTTTGATCACGGAAAATCGTTTTCAATGATTGTAAAGCACGTAAGCTTCGGGGTGCTCTGATCTGTGTCCTGGTCAATGTGGGCGCCTCCGAATGACTAAACATTTGAAATTCAGTCAAGTCATCGAATGAAAGCCACCCATCGCATCAAGCTACTTTCAGTTGGTGATCGGTCCCACCGATGCTGGATCACATTAGGGAAATGATGACCCGATAACCCTCCGCAAATTGTAATGTTAGGTTTTTGGTGGTATTTGGAAACTGCTGACAGGCACTCGAACATTTTCTATATATCTATATATGTCTATATGTTATTAATCGTAAAAAGGTAAAATAATTCTTGTCTGCTCGCACTGAAAGTGCATGCAAAATATGGGTCTTTCGACAATCCAGCATAGCAGTTATTGGTGTTGTAAAATGCTGCTCACATTTTAGATTAGTATGTGTGAATGGTGCAGCAAGCTGCGATTGGGCTTTCTCTCCCAGAGTGAATTATTCTGTTCAAAACTGAAACTACAGAAAATGCGCACCTACCATCGGAAAGTTCCATTTAGTAGCTAGCGCGCTCGTGACAATTAAGATGACCTGTTCCAAATGCGACGTTTTGTTGGATGTGAGCCCGTTCATTCATACTCCAAACCGTTGTTCGTGAATGGCTCCCCCCCATCCCGGAACACTCTTGTGGATATATAACACTACACTTTTCCAGGATTGCTCTCAAATGTCAGTCCACAATTAAATACCACAAAATGCTTCGCTCGCTTTGTGGTCTACTTTTGATTGGATTATGTATCCATAATGGGTTAGGCGGTTTCCGTAATACCATCGTTATCACCACTACCACCACCACCAACAATAACTACAACAGTAACAACAACAAGAATGACATCATCCACCAAGTCATTCAAGCCTTGGTGATGATCGTTGTCTAGGTTAGTATCAGGATCATCTTGATTGCTTGACAAGTTCATAAATTGGATGAAAGACGGGTAAAATCTGTAATGGAGAATCTTGAAAGGAGAACGAGTAAGAAAGTCAATATCCGTGACTGACGCAAAATAAGCGGAGTCCAATTAGACACATGTGTTGCAAATGTGTGTGCAACTGTTCGTACTCGAGCGTAAACTGGCGGTTTTACCATCGGAGAAAAGATTTGCTCACTCTCTCTCTCTGTGGTATACAATGGACGACTGTTTAGCGTGCAATTGAATTCACGTACAAGTGGTACTTGTGGTGTGTCACCAGACCCACTGAAAATCGGACTTTAAAACCCGGTTCCATAGATTCACTTTGAAGGCTTCAAACTGAATGGTATATCATAATTTCTTATTCTTTACGTGTGTATTGTCCATCCGCAATCAGAACTATGAGAACAGGAGACGATAACACTGAACACACATACAAACCACAACTTTGTGATGAGCAAAGCAATTAATTTCTCTTTTCTATTGCTTGATAAAACAATTTAGTGTCTTTCCCCTGTTAAACACTTTTAGGTTTTGGGTTTCATTCTGACAGTGGGTGCAATAACCACAATCATGAAGTTGTGGTCACAAAATAGTAACGTAGTGACATATTTTCAATTTATCTCACATGCGACATTCGTACAATTCGTGAGTCCGATCATGGGATAAAAATATTGCTGTGGTTTCATTGTGCATATCCATGCATGATTTTCATACTCGCTCACGCGGTGGGACGTGAGAGTACTTGGTAAAATTAAGATGTGAACACCAAAGATGCCCAAGTTTACCTGTGAGCTAAGTGGAGCTGAGGAAACCGTTGTTCCGTGTAAACTCAATTTGGTTCATATTGACTGCGGTTTTAATACTTTTGTGGGTTGATTTGAACTGATCGTCCTTCACGCACAATCCTCACCTCATCCAGTCAACCATTCCCACACTCGAAAGCAGACTCGAGTTTCGCTCGTCTGAGAGCTCATCAATAGTACTTATCCACCGTTCCACTGTCCGGGCTCTGAATTTCGGACCGATCGCATGAAAGCTGTGTATGTTATCACCATACCAATCAACCCATACGAGGGCTAAACTGAATTGACCATTCATTCAGGTGATAGTCAATCAGTTCATCGTTAG